TAGACGGTGGCTTAAGCCCATGTCTGCAATTGTATACAGCATCTAACTCCCACAAAAGCCAACGGGATTGGAGTGCTTATGTAGGTCTGTGGATCCATGCCTTTTGTCATAACACGAGCCAGAGGCCGGAAGAGAGATTTCTGCTAAATATTGTATCTGGAGAATAAGTTTCAGAGGACATAGTGTATGTAAAAAAATTCTCTGACGTTTCTAGATTTCATTTTTTCAACATACAAGACCTAGTAGCGGTTAGTTAATAATTAAACGGCGCAAATTCAATGTAACCATCACGTTCTGTATATGAAAGCCCAGCTTTCTTAAGGAAGCTGAGCTAAATCCTATTATTCAATCAGCATTTCCCACGTGATATTTAGCACTCAGAAATATATGGTTCTTGTCCTCTGATAAAAAGAGCGCTGTTAAACGTTTAACACCTTCTCAAATAGTCGGAACTGCGAATGAAAATGGAAACGGGAGCGTTAATTTTTTTTTGATCCGGTGCCAAAAGCCTTCTGCATCAGCATTTCATGGTCCAACATTTCCAACATCATTTTTTTTTCCCTGCGTGTGAAATTTCAGCAGATTGTTATGCAAAACAGTTTTGTGTCTCTGTGTGACTGGGGAGACAGCTGTTAGTCCTAATGAGGAGTGCTAGCATTACAGTATTTCCGTTGATTGAGACCCACGGAGGGAGCAGAATGTTCCAGATCGGGCACTGGTGTGTGGTGAGAAAGTGCCACGCTGTCAGCTGGAAGTACATGCTCGGCTGCTTGCTACGACAAGATAAATGAGTTTTGCTGGGGTTTGGCATCGTCTGAAGCTTTTCTGGAGAATAGTAGTAACACACCAAACTCCCACCGGGCCCCACAGTTTAAGGTGTCATAAGACTACTGTCTCTTTGCCAGTTTTTTTATGTCCTGCAATACCTGTCATCCTTTTGAGTTATTAAAAACCTAATGTCTTTTAGCATTCCATTAACGCCAGGTCTAATGATCTTTTGTTGACACTTTTCATTAATTTAGCCAAGGGGATGTTAACCACAGTTTTAACTTGGCTAGGGTGACTCGGAGACCAGAATCCACTGAAAAAGTGAAGAAAATGTTGAATTCACACTTCCCTTTGTTTCTGAAACTTTATATATTCAACACAGCTGTTTTTAACCTTTGTCTCCAAGTGGGAGAAGCTCATGTTCCCTGGTTCCTCTGTCCAGCCCCTCCTTTCAATCTCGGTTGCCATCTTAGTTCAAACCCTGCATCAGTGTATAAGTGAGAAATGTTGGCTTTTTGTTTTTATTCCTGTTTTGTTTCAATAAAAATATGCCAGTGCCCTCTCAAGAGAAGCCCCGAATTGGAGTAGTAGGGGGTTGTAGATGAAGCATGATTTGAAGTGCATAAGAAAAGTGATTAGCACAGCACCTGCCCGCACTCTGTTAAGTGACTCGCATTAGTTGTGTGCATTCATGAATTTAAATTTCCATGCCGGTTTTAACCGTTTATCTGAATGTGTTCCACCTTAAAGGAGCCGCTTGCACTTGGTTAACTTGCTTACCTACTCATAGCTTAAGCACACTTTCTGTGCTTAGATGCTGAATGTCTTTAAAAAGAGAGCCAATCTCTACCCTTAAGCTTTGACTAGGTTATAAAAATATTGTTCTTGGTCTGTACAGTCTTAGTATAAATGTATTTTTTTTCTCTGTTGCCCTTACATCATTCATACAAGAAAGTGTTGCATTTCTTAATATTGAATTCAAGGTGTTCATTGTTCCTACAAAAATCTAAATCGGGTACCTTGAACTTTAGCTTTTTAAAATACATTATGCAGTACAAAAATGCATTAATTGCCATTGAAACCTTCACTTTGAACTCATTTGCTTTTTGTGCTTTTAAACTCTAAACCATGGTATTGCTTTTGTATCCCTTCTTGTGTTGATTAGCTTTTTTTTAAAGCACTATTACAGATTCATGTATATTGAAATAAAATGGCATGTACTGCAGTGTTACCCTATAGTGCATGCAAAGTTTGATCTTTGAGGTGCTGTAGGCAGAGGCGTACGAGTATTTAAACCTTGTACTGTTTTAAAGATGGCTTTGGAAATGGCCTGGCGGCCTTCCTCTTGGCTCACCAGCACTGCCTTTACCTACCTGCTGACAACTGGGCAGCAATACAATGCATCTTCATTTTGTAACTCATCTCTACTGCATCCAACAGCCTGTTATAGAATAGTGTAAGTGGAAAAATTGGGAAAGGGAAGAGGCATAATGAATAGGAAAGATGACTTCTCTTGACATTTGCTAAGAGATTGGATGGGATCTAGAATTAACCTCAAATTGGCATCTAGTTTGTGTTGGACCTTTAACACTTTGCATTGCTTTCGTTTAAAATACAAGAAGCATTACTGGAAACACTTTGATTAAAAAGTCTTAACTATTTTAAGTAAGGAGAGTGATGAACTAATACCAAAGCAAAGATTGTATAAAAATGAATATAGCTCTGAGCAGGTGTCACAGACTGGAGGAATTTTCAATCATTTGTTACATATTTATTCTGATTCTTGCAACAGAAAAATAATTCCACATGTTAGTAGAGGGGAATAAAGAAATGCTGTGTTCACTTTTCTGCTTCAGTGTGAGATACTCTGCCATGCCTATCTATGAATTCATACTGTAATGTAGAAGGAGGTATTATACTGCGTATACAGAGTACAGTGCGTTGATTTGTACATTTATATCCTTAATTAATTGTGTGGATCTACTCTGAAAAATTCCCTGTTTGTCTCAATGACTACCTAGTAACTTTGTTAGGATAGCAATAAACATTTAAAAGATTTTTTCCCATTAGAATTGAGTTCAGTGAAAATCTGTAACTCTAGAGTCAAGCGTTATAAGTGCTGTTTTAGGTAATTGATGATCAGTAGTGGAACTATGTGGATGGCAGTGTTTTTTTATGTTACTAGAACTCCAAAGGAATTTAACTAAAACTCAGGTTTTCTTTGCAATATTCAGACATACAATGGCAATTTTTTCCAGATATTCAAATGCTGGAAAATGTGCACGTGAAAAATTATATTAAAATACATTTGTAACAAAATTACAGCAGGGTTTTGCCTAAACTTGAATTGTCTGTCCTTTTTCATGTGCTATACCTCTTCCACTCCTTAGTACAGGTATATGAAAGCAGCTGCAGTATACTTTCACTAACAATTGTGGAAATCCAGGAGGGATAAAAGATTTCAGTCGTGACTTTTCAGTGGACAGGAATTCCATGACACATTTGCTACTGAAGTGGTTCATGACTATTAAGAGCTAGCAAAGCAGTATACGAAAACCAGGTAGTCATAGCATAAGTTGGAGGAAAGACTTGCTGCTTGTTCATCATTATTACATAATATGGAAGAGGTTTATTTTGAAGAAAGAAAGAGAAAGCAAGAGAGAGAAGAAATAAAAAGAAATCTCTTCTTCTGAAGTCACTGAAGGAGAGTACTATTCCTACGTCTATGTACAGTTGGTCCAGTAAAAAATACCATCCACAAGACTTCTTGACCATGAAACTGTTCCTTCCCAGTCATGTAGGGCAATCCTTCCTGGTTTAACCGAAGTCAGTAGAAAACAGATTGGTTTGTAAGTGCTTGTGCCCCTAAAGTGAAATTTGGATCTGTATGCTCATGGTTTTTTATGCTGAAGCACATAATACCCAGAAGGCTGAGTGAAGACCTTAGATCCATGCTGTATAATTTCCCTGGATAGCTTAGTTGCAGTCTAATATTGCATGAAGAAACTTTGTATCATTAATACAATGGACTTTAAACCTAATTAGAGCTTAATTTGATGTCAATTTAAATTAAGAAGGCTTGCATAAACTAGTCCATTGTGACCTGCATAGTGCTAATCTCAATCAGCAGTCTGAATAGGACATGAATTCAAATTCTCACAGTACAACAGAAATGACAGTAACAATTGACAGCTTAAATTAAATTACTAAATTTCAAGAAATTGATGTGCGTGACCCTAGCTACAGGATAGGTCATTAAATCGCATACTTAGAAATAGAGTTGAGCAGCTTGCTTTAATGATTTAGAAGGATGAAGATGCTTTATTATCAAATTGTGTAGGTGGAACTTTCATATATCTAGTACTAAAGTAAAATTGAATAGCCGAAATCTCAGGTATGTCACTTATTTAACAGTGAAATATACATTTTTCCTGCTCACTTTCATATATAGGTATATGTATGTATGTATATGTGAATCTCTCTCTCTCACGTACGTTTCCATTTTGTGGAGGCTTTTTTTTTAATTAGGCAGACTTCTAAATGTCTAATCTATCTTTTATATATATGTCCTTGTATCTATTTTTTTTCTGGCTGTCCTGCTTTTCATTCAGATATAACAGGTACGGTCATTAGTTGATTCCTGTGATCCAGGCCGATATGATCACTTACTGTTTGTTTTGATTTCTGACTGTCAAACCAATAGTAAAAACTGATGGTCTTCAAATCTTATAACAGTAACCGAAATACATCTGCAACTGTGTATCTACCATCTGTATACAATAAATGAATGGGAAGATTAAAGTCTTCTCAGTTGTACATTTTAAATGCATACTTTGTTCCATTTTGTACTCTGTATTCTACAAGGTGACTAAAATTTAACAAAGATTTCTTCATTAGGCATCTTTAATTATAAAATTGTAAATTTTATAAATGAAAGGTCAGTCAGTTCCTCTAATACACCTCTCTACCACTGGAGTAATGCTTTGATTAATGCATGTATATATATTCCAAGAGATGGGCTTCAAATGAGCGCTTATTTGAGAGTCTAATATTATTTGAAGATTTTTTTTCTTAATTTTTATGCACTCTGGCTTAAAGTTACCTATTGCAAGGTACATATTTAAGAAAACATAAGAATAGTTACAAGAAGAATTTGAAGTAAAAATTCTAGTTAATTTAAAACATGTCTTAAATCATCATTATTATTTTTATTTATTTATTTAATTATTTAGCACTGTGACATCAGCAGTTTTCACTGTGGGTGACAACGTTGTTTCGGGTAGTGATGACCGCACTGTAAAAGTCTGGGACTTGAAAAATATGAGATCTCCTATTGCAACTATCCGTACAGACTCTGCAGTAAATAGGTATGTGCTCTCAAGTTGTTAATGTTGACCTACACATCTGTGAAACTGAACAAAAGCTCGTTGACTAAAAATTAGACTAACATTACACAGTGGGATTTTTAAAAACAACAACTAGAGGCTTCTTTATAATGCTTCTTTATAATGGTTATGTTCCTTTTCTGGGGTTTTTGATGCTAGTGGTAGATGCTTACTTTGTATATGCAATATCTTTAAAGGTATGTCCAAAATTGAGCTTGTTGCAGTATTCTAGTGCTTTAGAAAACAACTTAAATGATATAATGCATTCATTTCACTCTTTAAATTTAAATAGTAAATACTCAGCTACATCACGTTCAGTGAACTCAATCTTGTACTGTCAAATCTTATTTGTCAAGCTCATGGTTCTGCACATAACCTACTTTTTATCTCCTCCGTGCAGGATTAATGTGTGTGTTGGCCAAAGAATCATTGCCCTTCCACATGACAACCGACAGGTTAGATTATTTGACATGTCAGGTGTGCGATTAGCAAGGCTTCCTCGCAGTAACAGACAGGTAACTGGATTTTTATTGCCGTATGTATATTGCCTTTTTTTAAAGATAAAGTGTGGATATTTAGGCTCTATAGTTCAGAGCCAGAGGGCTGGAAGATGGTTGGAGGTTTATGTAAACATGTAGATTTAAATAAAATCAATGAATACAATTCTAAAGTTAAAATTTTTTCAGCTACTGAAGGTCAGTGCTTTGAATTGAACGTCGTGCTTTTTCTAGATTTAGTAAATCTTCATACAGATTTTGAACAATCAGATGATTAATCTTTAACTTTACTTGAATCTACAAAAAAAAGTTACACGTCTTTCTATGTATTGAAGTATTTGAAAATGAGACTAAGGATCTGAAAAACATTTGAAATCAAAATCTGGAGAGCATCTAAAATATCTTTGTGTGGATCTACTGAGAAAAAAATCCCTGTTTGTCTCAATGACTACCTAGTAACTTGTTAGGATAGCAAGTAAAAAGACAATGTCAGTTCTACAACTTGACCTTCAAAAATGCTTTTCTGCTTGTGCTGATAACCATTTTGTACCTACAATATAGTAAAATCGATTACTATACTGCCAAAGACGTTTCTCTTCTTTAAATAGACTTTAGTAGTGCCAATGGGAATAATATGGTACAGCTCTCTTAGAATTAGCTAGCAAATACAACACAGAGTGTAAACAAGTCTGGCGAACACATAGGAACAGTAACATGTCACTCATTCTGAAAACAACCCTTTGAAAAATTAGAGTAACGGCACATAATTTTCTAGTTCCTTTAAGCATTTTACAAATATCTGTCACGACATCCATGTAGGGAATATAAAAAAGCAGTATAAGAACCACATCATTCACTGTTTTCATTAAAACTGTTGGAGTGGATGCAACAGCTGTTTAACAGTGATACAGTGAATTTTGGAAAAGCCATTTAAGAACAGTTTAACCCTTACAAGGTTTCTTGAAGTTTTAGTACTTTTCTTTGTTTTCCTTGCTGCCTTAGGTGGAACTGACCACCTTGATTAGAGGGCTGAATCACTTCACAGAACTAAATTGGCTGCTATCAAATTTTAATAATTGCTGATATTATTGATACATGCCATTAAGCTGTTGCTACGTTTCCCCCCTAAGTTGTGCACTTAGACCCAGTTTCTGTCATCACTTAGTGGACTTTGGAAAGCCTTTTGCCATTTTTCTGAATGAAAGATGCTATATATAGCTTTCCAAAGCTTACTAAGTGATGGTAGGAACTGGGTGGGTGGTTGTGTGTGGGTGTGTGTATAACTAACCAGGATTTTGCAATATGCTAGAATTCTATTTTTGTTCTAAAATATAACAGATTGCAATAAGCACTTTGAAGAGTGCTTCAATTGAGGTGTTTCTTGGTACTTGATAAGTTGTCAACCATGACGTTTGTACCGGTTATAGTGAAGGGGGTGCAGTTTGAAAGTTTCCATAGTTGTGTTCTCTTTAGTTAGACTACTGTATAATTTTATAAGGAATATATGAAACAAAGTTCATCCAAATTTACTTTTTAAGGAAAAGTATGTTTACAATTAAGTTGGTTTCTTTTTACAACTTAATATTTTAGAAATGTAGACTAATTGTCTTTCTAGGTCAGTAGTGCCTTACCAGTATATTACTAGTATGGTAGGGAGGCTTGTACTTTTGTGTTGCATAGTGTAACTGATTTATTTATTGAAATTATAATAGGGCCATAGGAGAATGGTATGCTGTTCTGCGTGGAGTGAAGACCATCCAATCTGTAACCTGTTTACTTGTGGGTTCGATCGTCAGGCAATTGGCTGGAACATCAACATCCCTGCATTGTTACAAGAAAAATAAAAATGCTGGAGAATTTTTGCATTTTGTGTGGCCATGGACTTTTAAACTTTTATGCAGACTTTTCTGAATATTAGCCTGTCATTGCTGTAAAAGTTCTTCCTTGAACAGAGTGCTTTGCAAATGTCGTTCTTGTTACCACATTGTGCACAATTTGCATGAAATGTACAGGAAATGTGACTTTTTTAAAAATTAGATTGTCTTGTGTATGAACTTTTATATCTTACTACCCACTGGTCAGTAGAAAGGAAGTTCATAGTTATATAGAGCACATACGTGTTTCTAAGTTATTCAGCATTTGATAGTTGAACAGTAGGGCATTAAATTTGTGACTTAAATGTGAAATGTATGTACTTATTATGAAGAATATATAGTAGTCTGTTACATTTTTCCATAACTTTACATATCTGCCTTGTGTTAAAGAATCTGCAGGGCTAACTTTGATGAAGTGTGAATTTCACTAGTAGTAGGATGGTTAACATTTCTTTGTTTGCATCTATGATTTTTAGTGCTGCAGTATAGTGTAACTTCAGCTCCCATGTTATTCTAGTTACTGGAGAGAAGGATTGGGAAGATAAGGATGAACAACCTCTTCTAGTGTGCGTAGAATGCAGAATTACAGCATTCCAAATGTTTTTTTACATTTCTCGTGACACAGAAGAAGCAAATGTTCATTCTACCCTTTATGTACAAAGCTCTTTTGGATCTTGTAGCATCTGTCACTAGCAACAATCCCAAATCTAATCATTAAAATCTAGGGGTGCTGTACACGTGTGGAGGGAGGAGGGCATTTTAATTGGAGCAGGTTTTGGGATCTGTTCTAATTAAAGCACCCACAGCATCTCATATATTCAGTGTCCCATGTTTCAAAATGGCAACGGGCACTTTAACTAAACCTCATTCAGCAAGCCTTAGTTAAAGCGTCACTATCACCATTTTGAAATGCGGGGATGCTGAATACATGAGACACTGCAGCACGCTGGAGTATTCCAGTTAGAATGCTCCAGCAGACTCGATTAATGCCCTGCCGCATTCGAATCATCCAAGCACGTGTAAAAGTGCCCACATAGTTGAGCAAATTTTAAAGCACTTTAGTTTATAGCTACTGTTATAAACCATTTATGAAAATTTCTGATGACTTTACCAGTGCATGTGAGTTGACCTTTGTAAGAAGGATTTGCTTTTTTTTGGTGATCTACCCGGAAAGAAAATGTTGTTTATTTTTTACACCTACAGTAAACATATTTTAAATGGGTTCACTTCCTTTGTTTTGAGCCAGCAATACAGAGTATATGAGTACTACCTCAAAAATGAATTTCAGTCAGATTACATTGAATCTCTGTAGCTTAAAAAAGCACTTTTGATCCATGGCTGAAGTACTGTCTTTTGGGTGAGAGGAAAGACAATCATACTACCTGTGGTCTTTAAGATAATTAACACTTAAGGCTAATGGGGCAATACCACAAGTAAACATCATCTGTCACCTTTGTTCTTTCAGCTGTAGCTAGGGCTGCTGTAGCCCCTGTTCATTCCTAAAGGGAATAATTCTGTATGTTTTCCACCCTTACTCTCAAGAGATGTTACTCTAGTTTTGCTCTTCACTACATTTAGCCTTGTTGCACTTGCTGTTGATCATATAAGTAAATGTATGTGGCAGCTGACATTTTCAGCAGGGATGGGAAAGGCTATATTGAAGGCTGCTTCAGACCTACTTTCTTTTAGCTGAAGGGAAATAGTGCTCCAAGTTGTCTGACATATCACAGTATAAGATGAAGGGTCAGAGTAATCAGAGGGTGGGTTCTTGTAATAGGATTAATAGAGTTTAAAGTAGATTGCCATTATATACTGTATTATGATCTTTTAATCACATTCTTATGATTATATGAAGCAATAGCTGAGCTACAGCACTGTTTAGAACAGAGATGAGAGGCTGATTTGTTAACTGGCTCTCTTTTTAATTAATATACAAAGACAAGGTGTGGAGGGAGATGGGAGGATAAGTGCACCATTGAGTAATTATGAGAAAATTGGGGTCCTGGAACATAAAACCAAGAGGGTAATACAGGGATGAGGTAGTTAATGGAGCGACTGAGAATGTATGCATAGAGCAGAGTCTTACAGCTTTTTTTTTTTTTTTTAAGT